TTAAACAGTTGGAATAGTTAGATAAAGTTATGGATAGCCTACATAGCCTGGCTGAAATAATTAGCTAAACAAGTAAAAGGATGAAAAAGCAAGCTGAAAGTAATGGTTAAATTGGTGGATCGTTAGCTAATAGTTGCCTTTCGTAGGTTAGCTTAAAGTAATGCATTGTTGGGAAAGTAATGTTTAAATAGTTAACAAAGCTAAAGGTTTAGCTAAATTTAGCATAAAACGATGTATTTCAACAGTGGAAATGGTTAGATAAAAGCATTGGATAATCATTTAAATAGTTAGCTTAAGTAAGGGCTAGCTTAGATAGCCTAGCTGAAATCGTTAGCTAAATAAAAAGTAAATGGATGAAAAAGTTAGCTAAAAGTAAAGGTTAAACTAATGAAAAGGTTAGCAAATAATTAGGAAGAAATAGTCTTTTTGAAATAGTTAGCTTAATGGTTAAATTGACCAAATAGTTAGCTTAAATGAAAGGAACATATTAAATATTTATCTAAAAAGAGTGCATAAATGGTCAAAAAGTTAGCTAAAACCTGTGACAAACCATTGAAATGGTTAGCTAAATGTATTGTGTAATTTAAATAATTAGCATAAATTAATCGTGTAAGTAGTTAGCTGAATGGGGTTATGGATAAACCCTCAATCAACACAATGCTTCTCTACAGGTTAGTTTGAATGAAAACCTGTAAACTCTTTTGGTCTTGATGACACCTGGTTCAAAACCAGTAGTTTATTTCAAGTCAGTGTTTAACTTCCTGATATGTGATGCTCAAATATATTTACAGTACAGTCCTACATTGTGCATGTGATGCACAGCTGACTACTGATGCTGTCACAGCTGGGCTGACTCCTTACCATACTACCTGGTCTCCCATCTACCCGTGTTAAAAAACAGATTGGAGGTTTGAAGATTTGTAGTCCGTGTTGTTTCTCTGATGTCCTGCCATTCCCACCCTCTCCTCAAGTGTTTGGTGGATTAGGCGACTTGCTGATGCCCGCCATTACGCCCCAGAGCACCGGGGGGAGCACTGCTGGAAGCACAGCAGGAAGCATGGGAACTCCAGTTGCAGTGGGAGGCATTGCAGCCGCCCCCCCTCCCACCCCACCTCCTTCTAAAACTGTTGGAGGAGACCTGGACTCCTCATTGGCCAACCTTATTGGAGGTAGACAGCTACTTATAACCATTTTTTTCTGTAACTTCATCATTTGTGTTTGTAGATCTAACCTGTCCTTTTGTTCTTCTTCTGTCCAGACCTTGGAGTAAAGAAGAAGTAAGTGTGTATTTAAATATATACATGTTATAAATGCAGCACTCCAAGCATCAGCAGTATAATGGGATCAATAGCACAGTAAGCCTGAAGTGTACCCTGATCTCCTTTAGGGACCCACAGAGTGAGAAGAAGCTGACAGGAGGAGCCAACTGGATGCCACATGTAGCTCCCACAAGCTGGGGTACACCAGGAGCCCCCATGGTAAGATCTGCATGTACACCGCGTCCCTCACTGTGACATCACATTTCATCTCAAAGGCAGTTTTGCTGATGTACCCTCTTTGTCCTGGCACTGTAGGGAGGGACCGCCCCCGGAGGTCCCGGGGCTCCAGGAGCCTCCATGGTCCCACCAATGAGCGCACAGCCTGGCTTTGGCATGGTGAGCTTTAAATCATGCATAACAAAGTCTGTGGATTTCACTGTGACATCAGCTTTTAAAACAGCCTCACTGTATAAACCATAGAAACTTTTGTGAAGGCAGATGATTCACTGACATTGCCTTCAAAAGTCTCTCATTTGTAACCCCTGTGTTATTAGGCTCCTGCAGGAGGGCCTGGAGCTCCCATGATGCAGCCGATGATGGGGCAGCCTATGATGGGACAGCCTATGATGAGACCTCCCTATGCTGGGGGGGCGGGAGCTGCACCAGGAGCACCGGTAAGAACATAGTAAATCCCCTGGTGTGTCTACACATACTTTAAAAGCAATTATGATGTTGGAATAATCTAACAATTTATAGTTTGTGTGAGGAATATTAATTGTATTGTTAAAAGATCCACCAATTTAATTTCGTGACTTTTTCTCAGATTCCACTTTTAAGCCAGAGTCCCAAAAAGCCCAAGGACCCATTGGCAGATCTCGACCTCAAAGACTTCTTATAACACCCCAGGTATGTACTATATATGTAACTTTACATACAGTATAGTATACAGAGTATAGTCGCTGACAACTTCGTTAAACATTTATCAAAAAACTTTGGTGATTTCTTTTTTGGGATTGGCTTATCCACAAATAACAGATAATATGTAAAAGTGAATAAGTAAGAGTTCCCTAATAAAAAACAAAAAAGCATATGGTTGGGTTCAGCCGTTCCAACTGGCGTCTTTTTCATTTACGTAAAAATTAAATTCAGTGACTTTTTGCAAAATGCCCCTTATTACACACTTAGCTCTTAAGAGGAATATTTAAAGTAGTCTCTTTTAATGGATCATTGGTTACTAATCAATGCTTTTAAAAGCGGCAGTGAGTTGCTATGTATCCTCAAACTGCCAAAAATACATTTTAAAAACAGCCTCCCAGAGGTCATGGCCTGGTCACTCAAGATAATCATCAGACCTTGTGAGCAATTTCACTTTGGGACTATTTACTTTACCAGATCACTGCACAGTGGGAAGCATGCATCCACTAATAAACGAGAGCGTAGTGCTTGTGACAGCTCGATGGGCTTTAACCTTAGCTAGCTCAGGTGAGCTAGCATTATGCTGCACAAGCCTTTTGCCATGGATACATGATTGCTTCTGTGCGCTGAAACAGTTATCTGGTGTAGTTTGATATTTTGTGTGCCATGTAGTGTGATATTTAGTTCCATTTTATTTGAGAGAAGGCAAATCAAACCAGGACATTTTAGATTGATAAATAGCTCTGCAGGTAAAAGTAATAATATGTATTTTGGCACCATGTTGACATGCATGCATCTAAAGTCATGTAAACACAGCATTAGCATTCATATATATAAAAAAAAAAAAAAATGAAATTATTGTCTATATGCTTTTCACTTTTGACCTGACACCTGTTTCTCTGTTTCCTTTCTTCAAGCTGCTTTCTTCTCTGGAGCAGGGCCCTCTCAACTTTTACCTGGTGTCTGTCAACATCTCAGGATGTTCAGCTACTCAACCTTATAAGAGCCTCTTTTCTCCACCCCAACCATCTACACCCCACCCTTTTCCTGTGTGATGTTGTAGCACAAACTGTGAAAGTGAACCATAGCCGATTATATATATGAGAAAAAAAATACAAGCGTGTGATTATGTAGATGTTCTTATCTTTTGTCTAAACAAAATCACTCAAAAACCCTGACAAAAAAAAGTCCTCAAAAGTGAGTGAAAGCAAGTGAAGGCGTATATGTTTGAATTTCTTTCTGGTGTTGAGTTGAATGATGGATGTGCTTTGGTGTCCTAAGCCCCTCCCACCACCCCATATGTGTCCCAGCCTCCTTATAAAGGGGGAGGAGCTCTTCTTTGTCCCACTCTGATTGGATGAGAGTGGCGAACAAAGCCCCGATAGATTTCTCGGAGAAACATGTTGTGTGTTGTTTACAGAAAATTCCTCGCTGATGTACATAGATCTCTCTGGCGAGGATTACGTCTCTATTCTGTACGTCTGTTGAAGAGAAATATAAATGTGATTCTGACATGAAATTGTAAGTCGTGTGAGTAACCTTCTATTCGTCATCTTTTGAAAGTATTTGGAAACAAATACCTCTATATGATTAATATACTGTATATTAAGACAACTTATATGGGCTTCTGAATCATACCAGACCAAGTGATCCTTTCTGTGGGTTTCGTTTTTTTTTACTCGTGGCTTATTTTTCTATGTTTATTTATTTGTCTTCTTGTCTAATGTTATTTATATGATCTGTTTCTGTTAGAATAATTCTCCATACTGCTGTCCATATTGTTCTGGCATTACTATTAATGAACATATCTTACAATTTACTTCCAGAGAAAATGCTTTAGTACTTCGTCACAGACTCAAATAACTACAATTTTTTCCTGCGGTTTGACACTACCTATCAGGATATATCTGTTGCCGGTGCTTTCATTATAACTATGACCAGGTCAGTATGATTATTGTTGTATTTAATGTAAGATGATCCAATGCCATACCCAACTCTGGAACCTTGAGGATTTTCTTTTGAATCAAAGTTCTGTTTACAGTCATTGTTTCTCACCAAATTGGCTTTTGGACCTAACAAATGTGATGAATTAACAAACTTACACCTGACGTGTTCGAAAACAGCGTTCAAAAATGTCACAATCTTCTAGAATTTGCACAAATTGGACTGAACATTATTAACGTCCAAGTTGTTTTATTCAATCACTTCTGACCTTTGGCCCATTTTCAATTAAAACAGTTGATAGTGTTAGTCACAACACAAGTGTGATGGGGAAATCCACAGATCTGTTCAGCCATTAGCATCATAAAACAAGCCCCTCTTACAATGTAGTAAATATGTTGATATGGACAGTTGTAAACCAGTCCGATGTAATGCTTACTCTGTGTGTTGTCTTTTCAGTGGACGAATAAGCAATTGGTTGTGAGCATCTGATATGATTCAGAGAAAATAACGGAAGATTATTAACATTTTTCATGAAATTGTATTTTTGTTCAGTTGTACATTTATTTTATTTACTATGGCCCACCCCAGTGCATGTAAGCCTTTTGAGGTGCAATAAATTCAATGATGGATTGAACTGCCCATGAAGGATTTATTTATTCCATATAATGTAAAATAGCGAAAGGTCAGATTAAAGGACTATTTCATGAATATACATCCCACCACATCAACATTACCAGATTAGTAAGGTGGCTAAAAGCCGGGGGAACTACAGTGGGGTGATTCCTTTGGGTTCATCACTGTGAGCGACAATTTTCCCATTCCACAAAAATATTAATCTGATCTTTCGTATTGAGGATCATCACAAACACACACACACACAAGTAGTAATCTTGATTTAATGGTTGGTAGTCATCAATCCGCATCATTAATATCAGGTGTTTGGTATTCAAAAGGATACGAATAATTTTTGGACAGAAACAACAAAAAAGTAAAAAACATCACATCCCAGATTTAATTTGTTATTATATAGCAACATTGCCTTTGTAATCTTATTAACCAACAGAATTAGAGAAATATCAACAGCTCAAGTATATCATTAAATGGTTCATTCCCATTTTAACAAAACCCACATATGTAGCCTCACATAAAATACATAGTAACTGCACTAGGCTATCAAAATATATTCTGAGAAATCCCCACCCCCGCCCCCCCCAATAGAGTTTACAGTTTCATAAATTAGCACCACGTTTTCTGGATAAGCACCGGTATAATTATGTGCACAACAATGAAACCCCATTTCACTGTGTTGCGAGAACAGAGAAAAGATGGTGTGATTCACTAATCAGATAAGAAATCTATCCAGGATCCATAATGACCCTTTCTCTATTTTTTTTAAAAGGTAGTTGTAAAAAACAAAGTTCTAGATCTACAAAATGCAAAACACCAGTTTGTTCAATTAAAATGTTTATAAAAAATGTTATCTTTATATAGTTCATTTGCGAAACAAAAGTTACATACATTTCTTCTGGGTCTTTTGTCAAAGCCAATGCACGCGCTCTTCTTTACAGTGGTGGAGAACACTTGGAAACTTTCTCCATAAAAAGCCTAGTTTGAATAGAATAAATGTACCTGGGCCTTCGCTCATTAACATTTGAATACACAACCTTTACAACATTGTATCCAAAAAGGTCAAATCCTAGAACAAAACAATCCAAATAGAAAGCAAAACAGCAAAATACACATAATACATATTTTTTTCTCCATTTTCTTAGCAAATAAATTAGAAAAGCTGACCAGCCACAGTTCTCTTGACGAAGACAAATTCCGGTTGTTGTCAACACTGAGTCTGTATGGCTGAATGTGGGCTGTGTGTGTGATCTTAGATCTGTGTAACAGGAGTCACTGGGAGGCACAGGAGGTAAAAAGGGAGGCAGGATTGGGAGAGGCAGTCGTCGGGGCCCCTGGTTGGAGAGTGGGGAGGGTGCCTTTAGTATAGAGGTGGAATGGGAGAGGGTTGGTGGTCCAGGGGGGATCCTGTGTTTTTCTAAGCTACCTTGCACAGACTTGAGTCCCCATGGATCCAGTAGCAGATCTGGGCATATTTGAGGGGTGTTATCCTGACCGCCACGTTGTAATCCTGCTGCATCCCGTTCCCGTTAACATCGACCCACTGGTGCCCAGAGTAAACCCCGATGATCTTCCTCGTCCACTTCTTCTTGCCTGGCTCTTTGAGACGGATGTAGATTCCGGAGCCACTGGAGCCCGGTTTGGCATCGCAGTATTGGTACAACAAATCCTTTGACTCATCAGAGACGGAGCAGAATCGGTACACCAGGTTTCCAGGACGGTCATCATCGAAGCCAGAGAAGTGGATCCTCCCAGCAGGAAGCTTCTTCACAGAGGGGATAACTCCCAGATCCATGTACTTGACTTTAGGTGCTTTCTTCAGCTCCAAAACAGCATAGTCATAATCTGCAGTCAGTCCTTCAGACACACCTTTGAACCAGCCCTTAGGCACCTGGGTCTTCTTGACCCCCGTCCACCTGAAGGAAGGTTTCCCCGATTCTGCACTTCGTCGACTGCGGCTCTTTCTTCCTTTCCCTTTTCCTTTACGGTCTCCTTTACCATCGTCCCCTTCCTTCTCTTGCGCTTCCTCTTCATCTTTGTCTCCCTTTCTCCTTTTGCCCTTTCCCCGCCCTCCTCTACCTTTGCCTCCCTTCCCTCGTCTGGACTTCTCCTTGAGAATACCGACTCGCAGCTTCTGCACCCCATCTAGATAGTCCTTCCCATCATGGATGCAGTGGGCAGCAGTCAGAACATGTTTAGGCGACACAAGAACCCCAGAACATCCTGTGGAGATCTTCACAGAGGTGGAGAAGGGATATTTGGTGGAGAACTGCTTATCAGAGATGGTGAAGCGGGTATCAGTGCCGTACACCTCGCGTTTTTGCCGGGACCTAGATGAGACGTTTTGGGACAAGGAAGCAACCTCATTCAGGCCCTGCACAGAAACGGAGGTAAACGTGCGCGTACCATTCTCATAGACCGTCTCGTAGGACAGGAACTGCTCCAGGTCAGCCAGAGAGGAAGCAGGAAGGCGACGCTGACACTCGATCCCACAGGTCCCGCTCAGCTGCGCCTGAGGATGCGCGGAAAAGTTTGAACTGCTTAGAGGGACAGTGTGTCTTTGCCTTACCAGAGGCACCTTCCACTGTGGCCAGGTATACTCGTCGTCAACTGCATTCTCCTCAGCAGCTACAGCCAGCACCACAGCCAGCACCGTCACTGGGAGCAGCACACACAGGGGAATGGGGCCCATTGTTAAGTTGGGGCGGGCTCTAAAAAAATGAAGAGAAAAGAGGAAGACATAAGGACACTTTGTAGAAGAAGTTGAAAGAAACAAGATTCATAGTTGTTGTGTACCTTGGAATAGCAATGTCAGTTGGTCAACCACTTGGGTCGTAAAAAATGTATCTCAATTAATTGTCCAGACATATTTATGTGTTGTAAAGACAATGAATCCTTCCTAAATGTAAATGATACCCTGATTTTTCCTCTTGTACCTAAATGAGAATCACATTTTTATTTTTTAGTGAGACGTCTTGACACCTATTGGATTGACTGCCTTTACATTCAGTAGAGATATTCATGGTGCTCAGAGGATGAATCTTACTGACTTAAGTGAAGCCTTAAAGGTGGGGTAGGTCATTTTGGAGAAACCAGCTCGAGTGTGCTAGAATTTGAAGATACACAACCGGAAAAAATCTGCCACTTCCTTACAGAGCCCCTCCTCCAACACACACGAACGCGCACATGACCAATGAGGGCACGAGATAAGTTTGTGCACAGATGGAAGGCTGACAGGCAGGTAGGCCATCCAGTTATTTTAGCCGGACCGGCTAAAATGATTGGTCGTGCTTTTTACATTACTACGGCTTCCACAGATGACATTTTGTTATGGATTTTTTGTCAAAGCACTTAAAATATTCATTGCTATCGGGATGTTAAGAGCATTCCATGGAATATAACAAAAAGTGTATCTCGAGCCGGTTTCTCAAACTTACCTACCCCACCTTTAACTTCTTGTCTATCGTAACAAAGAGGTCAACATGTTCACTTATCATGGTAAATAGATCCATATGTACCAGATGGAATACCATTTCATTTGGTACAGACATTCATTACTGTCAGAAGATGAACCCTAATAGTCCTATGACATTTCCTCAAGCCCCACTGTGAGGTTGACACTCATGTTTTTTGACTGGAATTTCTCGATAACCATTAGATACTCAGATTTGTACACACTGGTACAAACATTCATGTGCCCCTCTGGATAAATCGTAATCAGTTTAGTGATGACAGGACTTTTTCCTCTGGTGCTGTCATCAGAGTCTTAACCTTGATGATGTAATCCAAGCAATAACATGACAATTTGAACAAAACAGCATATAATCACCCCGCCTTTTAAAGGTCCCATGTCATGGCCATTTCTACTGATCATAATTCCATTGTTGAGGTATACTAGAATAGATTTATATTGTTCAATGTTCCAAAATCCCATTGGTTTCTCATACAGCATCTCTGTATAGTATGTGTATTCACTCTGTCCTACACGCCTTGTTGGAGCTCCTGCCTCCCCTCCCTATGAGCCCAGTGTGCTCTGATTTGTCAGCTCGCCCACTCTGTTCTGATGAGTCAACCACCGTTACAGCGGAACATCAGTGATTATGTGTTACAATGGCGTTAGCAACCAGAAAATGACACCGGCAATGACAAACAGATGAGAATGCTGCGTGGGGTCTGGGTGCCGTGTTGGCGGGACGTTGCGGGGCTCGCTGCTCCGCCCTTTGAGGCTCGAGGAGCGGACAGTGTGAGCTGGATTACTGGTGTCATTTCCTGGTTGCTGCGTGGGGTCTGCGAGACAGCGAGACACCGCGGAACTCAGCCTGAGCACACACACACACACTCATAGCCAGGCTGTGAGTGTGTGTGTGTGTGTGCGGAAATCCGGAGCCGCGGCTGAGAAAAGATAAGGCTGAGTGAGTGTGTGTGAGGAGCTCCGCGGATTGGTCACTATGACCGTTACGTCACTGTACTCAGGAAGAATTTTTTTTACAAAAACCCAACATGTGGACTTGAATTGAGAAGGTTTTGTATCCGATGTCCAGGTCTACAATCCAGGTCCTTGACAATATAAACACAGATGCATGTATGGCCACATGGAGGCAGCATAGTCCAACATATTAGAGACACCTACATGGTCCAGAGCTCTGTCTAGACTATCATTAGGGGGTCTCAACACACTCAATACAGTCTGGTTTTCAAGAGCGTTCCTCAAAGTACTCAAGTTTGCAGAAAAAAAAATTGGTGCCATTATAGCACTCTGTTAAATATATAAAACATTTCTCTAGAGTTGATACATTAGCTTTGTGGTTGAGAGGAGATTTATTTCCTCTGAGTCTTGCTGGAGGCTGCGGGTAGAGGGAAGGAGAGGATGAACCCTGATCCTCTGAACGAGCTGAGACAGTGGCTTGGAGGTTCGCCACAATGGTTAACCTTCTCCTTCAGTAATGACCATATCTGGTTTCCTTAGCTACACTCCATTCCTTGTCATGCGTACAAACAACATTAAACATATAGCTGTGGGCTGCTGCTGGTTCATGCTTCTACTGTATGTGTGTGAAGTTGCCAGTAATCCTGATACACCCTGTAAAGAAAATTCTGATTTGGCAAAGTTTGAATAGATTCAGCAGACCATCACGACAGCTTCATTTCGTCAGCATGGCTGTGGTGATGAAGTCACGTGGGCCATTCCAAACTCAAGGAGAGAAAATAATTTGGATGCCAATCATTGAGGAGCATTGCGGCAGGACAGCAAACCCAACAGTTCATTTCCTACAGAAGTCCAGAGTGAAAAACCACAGTGATCGCATACATTCTGGCTGTGTGAGGGGCTTCAATGGTGTGTGACAGACATGTTGACATTTTGGGAGTCCAGATGGAGGACAAACCATCGGGGGGGGCATCCTATATTGGCTTGAAAGTCCACATACACACATTTTCTTTCAATTAGTTGTTATTGCAGTGTGGACATAAGACTGTGCTGGGTTTGGCAAAGCTCCAATAGACTTATATTAACTGACAGGAAGAATGTACAGCATCATATCAATGCATCATCAGAGAAACTGCTCAAATCCAGTTTTCTTTGTTGAAAATACCAATAATAACCTCTTCTTTTTAGGTTGTTCTGCCAGAAAGTGCATTGCCATCCAACTGCAAGGAGACTATTTGTCTTAAGTTTACCACAGTGTCCAATAAAACATACCCAGTGGCCGACATCTAACCAGCCCCAAACAGACGGTCATAAAAAACAAGCCCACAAGAACTGTTAAACCGTGTCAATAAATGAGAATACAAAAATGACCCTGCTCAACTTCCAACCTCCCACTGCATGACTTAGAGACACGAGAAGCCTGCAATTATTCAGCAAAGAGGGGAAACTGATATGCTGCCATGATGAGTCTTGGTCACAGAAGGCGCTCATTTGAACAATTTTCCACTGCAGTCAGCTGAAAGAGGAAGCTGTGCCCCCTCTGCATCCCTCAGCGGGGGGAGTCACAGGAAGAGCCACAGGCCCCCATAAGGCAAAGTGACCAAAGGATGGCGCTGTGGAGCAAATGTCCGTCTCCAACTCAGTAAGCTTGGCTCATCGTCTAGTTAAACATCACGTTTAATAAAAAAGGATTGTTTCATTCATTTCAACTTTTTTTTTCACCACGTCTACATCTCAAGCATAGAGTTTCAATTCAGTGTAACAAGCACGAAACCTGACACTTTAAGTAACATGAAGAAAATACTTTTAGATGCAATTCTAAATATTTGACACAAGATCTGAGGTAAGTCTTTCCTTATTCCCAAATATCACAGTTTTCATTGTAAAGCAAATGAATAGCCCATTAAGTTATATATATTTAATTAAATGTAAAAAAAAGGAACAACTGTAATGCCATATCTGTTACAGCATCGCGACTGTAAGTGGAAAGAAGTGGGACAATGTGTTTATTAATTAGAACATTATTTAAACAAATAGCAAACTGTTTTATTTCGGATTTACGGATTTTAAAAAGTCTGTTCGAATCAATATACTATTACTGTTAAATGCCTTACATAAGGAATATGTTGCACCACTTGCAAAATCCGATTAAATGTCTCAAAGAAATCATTAAAGTTCACCACAAAAACAGAATAAAGAATACAAACAGAAATAAATCAATAGAAATGAATGACAACATAGAAATTAGAAATATGAAATAGACAATAAAAAACTAATAAATAACACAGCTCCTTCCCCCATGGTTCCATCAACAGATCTCCATAACTTTGCAAAATGACAATAGCTTCCTACCTGCTTGCATCCGAGTGATGGACAGGCCAAATCCGCAACGTATTGTTTGTTTTCCCGAGAAATATACAAATATGATCCCACTAGAAGACAAACGGGTGTTACTGCATCCTCCCGGTATCAGCAGGGCGACGATCCCTCCTCCTCATTGCTGCCTCTGAGAGAGAGTCGCGGCCGGGACGCTGCGCTCAGGCTGCACTTGATGCTGAGGAGGGAGGAAGGGAGGAGGGAGGAAGGGAGGAGGGAGGGAGGGGGAGGCAAATCTGAAAAGGACTTTTTTTTAAACTTGTGACAAAAGCTGTTCCCATATGGGTGGGGCCAGACCAAGCGATTTGGGTAAAGGCTGAATTGGGTGCAGTCAGTGGGGAGGCAGTGGGGCGGTGTGCGGGTGGGCAGCAGGCAGCAGGGTGCATCCCAGCCTGGCAGGAGAAAGAGGGGAAATAAAAATGAAGGAAGGAATTAGTTCTACTGCTTCCTACAATAGAATCTGAGGCCTCTCCATTGTGAGCCATGCAAGCCTCAACATCTGCAGCACTTTTATTCTACAATCTCATTTTCTCAGTCTGGTGAAGTGCAAACACCAGTGGGTGTATGTATCCAACTTTAGTCTGTACTAAATAACATTAATGTGATAACAGTTCATAAAGAAAATATCAATTTTAAAGGTGTTTTGGTTACAAGGGGATTGAAATGATTCACATTGAGAAAATGTTAGCAATCCTTTTTATTATTAGTAAAAAAGGTGTAGTAAAAGACCACAGGGGCTTAGAACAGTAAACCTAGGGGCCAGGTGGCCTCAGAGATTTCAAGATGAATCTGATTTGGGCCACATGTACAGGATCAGATTGAGGGAAGAGCATCCAAAGCATCACTTGTTTCTCTAATCGTTATGGTTTCCTGTCAAATATACTGTAGATTTTGAACTGTTGAGGTTTCTGACAATTATTTAGATCCAACAATCTGAGTAGCCTTCAAGAAAAGTGCAAGAAGACATATTTGCATTTTATGTCCTTTGCTTAACCTGTTAAGCCCTGAGCCTGTTTTTCCAACACACTCTCACTCCCTAAGCGTCCAGGAGCGACGCTTGGTCAGGGTCCCGTGGCGTCCAGTTGTGACGCGCCGAGGCTCCTTCAGCTTCATAAACGGATGCAAAGAGCTTTCAACTGATTGCAATGTATTCCCATCGTACACCCGGAAGTAAGTATTCCCCTTACTGTCGATTGATTTGACAGTGATATCTCCACTACTCATCAACTGAATACTTACTTCCGGGTGTACAATTCTCCGTTATCCAATGGGAATGGACGCTCACATTGCCTTTAACAGCCTCCGACACAAACGAATGCCGTGCTTCCCTAAGCGTCAAATACAGACGCCGATGGGAATACATTGCAATCAGTTGAAAGCTCTTTGCGTCCGTTTATGAAGCTGAAGGAGCCTCGGCGCGTCACAACTGGACGCCACGGGACCCTGACCAAGCGTCGCTCCTGGACGCTTAGGGAGTGAGAGTGTGTTGGTTTTTCAGGTCTCAGGCTCGAAAAAGACATTTCCAGAACAAATGACCATAACTACACTTCTAAAAGGGTTAAATTAATAATATTTTTTCTCAAAGTAATGATAAACATGTGAGTTGGATGTAGAAAAGTCAGAATCAATATAGATGTTTTTTATTTTAAAGAAAATTCAGATTGAACATAGTAAAAAACTGTAAATTATAGTGTCCGTCCAAATATTATTTTTTATTTATAGTGAAAACCCTTGGATGATGGTAAGGTAGACTAAAAGCTTTAGGAATCCAAAGTACAACATATAATAAGTACCCTGTATCGAGATTGATGCAAAACAAGTGACATTTGACCTTTTTAGAGAGGTTTAGCAAAAAAAACTCCACCTCTGGGGTGATTTGGGTGGAAATGGGCGTTTTTTCCGTTTCTCTGGAACCCATTGGTCGATTTTGGTGATTGACATCTCTTTCTGATCGTTAGAGCCAATAGAATCGAAGGGGGGTTTTCACATAGACTCCAACGTTAACACAAAAAGGTGGGGGCTTTGCGCATGTAGTTTTGCATGAGAGTGAAGCTATCTCTCACTCTGACATCTGGAAACGGAAAAGCAGGGTTTATTGCTTATGGATTATCAGAAATAATTTCAAAGGGACACAGACACATTGGAGTAACCTATGGATTAACTTCAGCAGCGTTTTTATCGTTTTAATGCCATTGAAGACCACTTTTGACCAGACAACGACACAGGTAAGCCATGTTAGCGTTTTTAGCTACCTAGCGCCACATGTTTTGATGTCTGTTTTTGTTTATAAAGTCGAGAGTTCTTATCATAGAGTGATAATGTATGTACCCATCTGTGTCATCTCACGATGCGAATCGATGTGTTGGATGTGCAGAAAAGATAAATAATAAGGTTTTATGAGTGAGTTTCGGTGCAGTAATCTGTTAGCATTTTTCGCTCGTTGCTAATTCAGAGGCTCAGCGTTAGCATTGTGGGGTTTTTTTTGGAAAAAAAATTAAAATGATCAGTTAGATGAGTTTCTTCCCGTTACATGGATATAAAACATTCATAGTTTATTAAATATTAAGATGCCCTCAGACACTGTTTCCTCAGATGACGCGTTTTCCCCCCGATATCGGGGGTGCGGTGTAGAAGAGGTTAAAAAAACGAATAATAACAATCAAAAATATATAACATTTATCCTTACCTGTCAAATTAAAATGCATATTTATATATATATATATAAATATATTTCCCACTGAAGTATACTCAAAGTGTTAAGTAATTGACATTAGCAAAATAGAGACAGTAAAGTGTAAGTGGCTCAAAGTGTTATCAAAGTTGAATACATTACTTCATGTGTAACAGGGTGGAATGTAGACGGTGCTCCACATAGCTTCATATTGTGGGAGTACAGGCAACATCTCTGAAACCATTGACAACTGCCTATAACATCGACATGTATCAGTGAGTCTGTAGTCCTCACATCAATCATTTGGTCCATTGAGAGTATAACTATATCATCATTAAATACTTTTCTTACAGAAACCATGGGGCACGTTATCTGAGAAATGTATGATGTGTAATCTGACACCTTGTCAACATTTATCGTCTATCTCTCAACTTTACAAGAGTTGGAGTCATTCAATGTCTTTGTGGCGAGGTGGTCGTTTTTAAAGGCAGAGCCACCCAAATACCAAAATGCCTGACAATGCCACCTGGGGAATTTCGCCCTAGGAGATATTTAATTTACACCTCAGAAATAAGAAGGCTCTACAAGTTTGTGACTGACACAAGACAGAGACGTGGTTCAATTATAATGAAAAAGTTTAACAGTTTATTTCAAAATGTCAATCACATTTATTTGTTTATTCTTGGTAAAAACACTTTATATAGAAAATTACTAAAAATCAATGAGGGGAAAAGGGGAGTGGGCAGATGCCAGCCAGGGGGAGGCAGTCTAACAGGGCTGTGTCCCTTACCCACCACCGGTGCTCACTTCAAACCAAAACTCACTTCAAACCAAAACTCACTGCAAATCAAAACTCACTACAAACTGTGTCCCAGTGCTCCTACCACTACAACCCGTGAAGGGAATCAGACTGTGTGCCTAGCCTCCACCACTAGCTGGCTCCAACTCCACTACAAGGGGCAAAGAAACAACAAATGAGTATAAAGCAGAAGAAACAATTATCCAGTTGGGCCAAACGAGCAAACCGTAAAATACACTAAAGTCCTAAATATAAGACAGCAAAACTAACTGTAGCAACACCTAACTGTAGCAACACCTACAGTAACTGTAGCAAAACCTAACTGTAGCAAAACAGCAGCCGATACCATCTAGGAAAAACATATTGTACATTAGATTACAATACAGAAGTACACATTTAAATCTTTCAACTTGGGTAATTATAAACTTACCACTACTCAGTATGATTAATACTAAAGTACTGAGGACCAACACACATCCCTCCAGGTTAACAGGAACTTCAGGCATCACACTTGGCCAAAGAAACACCAGGTGGACCAGGATACAAGCTGAAAGTAGGCTAATAAAAATGAATGTAATTCAGTGCTAATATAAGATGCACATGAGGAATATTAAGTTGCTGATCAAACATGACAACAGTATCTGACAATTTACCTACCCTTAAGGTGGCCATGTGGCAACAGGCAGGCAGCAAACGAACCAAAGGCTGCCATGATGCCACAGGCGCCTTAAATACTCCTGAGTTAATTAGGGGTTGGCTCTGGGGGAGGAGTTGACCTACTGTAGGTGATGGTGAGTTCAGTGCCTAGAGATGAGTTCGGGACAGTTACCTGAACCCAGTGTTCCTGCTACATCTTCAAACCAGAGGGTCTAGGTGTGAATGCTCACTGACACCTTGCCCCTCTGATTGGAATACTCTGATCCGCTTGCTGCCTCCTCTATGTAATAGGAATCACTTTTCTGTTTAGTCTTTGCATTTTGTTAGATCAGGAGGAGAAGCCGGGCCTCTGGCCGACAGAGGAGGAATGCCATGCTGACGAGTTGAAGTCTAGATGAGCCAAGAAAAGACACGGAAAATATGTGTGTAATGAGGGAGAGAAAGAGAGGGGTTGGGGGGGGGAAGAGAGTGATGATAAACATCTGGCTCAAGAGGGAATGAGGAGTACAAGATGTCATTGGGATTTGAAAACTGATCTTAGCGTAATCACTTCTGTCAGTCACTTTGATTTACAGCAGGAATTACACAGATTCCAACAAACGAGTTATGAAATTACAACTGTTTGTGTGTGTGTATACGTTAATGTGTGTGTGCGTGCATGTGTGTGTGTGTGTGTGTGTGTGTGTGTGTGTGTGTGTGTGTGTGTGTGTGTGTGTGTGGTGTGTGTGTGTGTGTGTGTGTGTGTGTGTGTGTGTGTGTGTGTGTGTGTGTGTGTGTGTGTGTGTGTGTGTGTGTGTGTGTGTGTTGTACATTGCACATTGCACATGCACTACAAACATTTATGGGATTGTTGGGATCTTAAAGGGCCCATGTCATGGCCATTTCCACTGATCATAATTACATTGTTGAGGTATACTAAAATAGATTTATACTGTGCAATTTTCCAAACTCACATTGGTTTCGCATACAGCATCTCTGTCAAGCATGTGTATTCAGCAGTATTCACTTTCTCCACTAAACGACT